GTTATTTTTTATCTTTATTTGTTTATTTATTTTATAACTCAACCAGTTGGGTTAAAATTTTGAATTTCAACAGTCAACTGATTTAACTGACACAGAACAGCTGCATTAATATGTGTACAAATGTTGTTTTTGCATTGTAAAGTTTATTCAAGCTCTAGCTGTCACGATTAACAGCGATCATATCCCATAAGATCGCTGATTTGCACTAACTATAACCATGGACTACAAATCCACCATTTATGGACTACATATTCATACATGCACTTCGCCCAGACACACATGCTTCCTCATCTAAACTGATTACTTTCACACCACCTGAGGATTGTCAGAGACTGATTGCACACACTACTTAAGCTACACACTCACTCATTCACTTGGCCGAGTCTTGTTTATCTGTTGATCACATTACGCGTTCTTCCTGTCTAGTTTTCCTGTTTTTCAACCTAGCCTTGTATTCTTGTTCTCCCTGCCTGCCGCCTGCCTTTTGACCTCTCGTCTGTTACTGATTACGATTCTGGATTGCCTACACATACCCGTTTGCACCTGTATTGACCATTGCTTGCCTGACGACGAATAAACCTGCATTTGGATCTTACCTCAGTTGTATGTGTCATTCCCCGTGGTTACACTAGCGTAACAATATTGTTGTTATTTTTTTTATCAAATTACCTCTTTTGTCGTGGTTTTTCTATTCGTTTCACCAGCACTCTTAGTTATTGATTATACAAATGCATGCTTCATGGCCGATAAAACGCTTTCTCCAACGCCCGTCTTCACCTCTACAGTTTTTTGGGGAGAAAATGATCCACATATTTGGGATTTTCAGCTGTCTTTTTCGCCTTTAGGACCCAGCGAAGACATTAATTTATTCACACAGCTATAATTCTAAAGTAATAGTAGTACTTCAATAGTAATACCAGAATAGAAAAAATAACATTTAATCAAAATAACCCAATGCATTGGGTTAAATTATATAACCCATCATGTCCATCATGGCCTTCTAACAATCCCCATATCATAATTGGCTTAATCACTCTGTCTCCTCTCCACCAATCAGCCGGTGTGTGGTGCATTATGGCTGCCGTCGCATCTTCCAGATGGATGCTGCACACTTGTGGTGGATAAGGAGATTCCCCTGAATGCGTAAAGCGCTTTGAGTGTCTAGAAAAGTTTATTATTATTATTATGACTCCTAAAAGCTTACATTTACAGTCACGAAAAAAAACATCCTAGGCTCATTGTGGATTCATATCCCTGTTTACATTTCTGGAGACAGCAAAATACATAACCAGAGGTACATCTGCTCGCAGTTTTTGTTCCAGATCCACCAGAGGGTGCAATATACACTTTAGATCTGTGGTTCCCAACAGGGGGGTTGTGGCCCACAAGGGGGCCTCAGTGAGTTTTGTGGGGGGTTGCGTCATATTTAAAAAGCAGTGGCCAATTAGGAGAATGATCATGTTGCCTTAGTTCATTTTATCTCCTATCTCAGAGGTCCTCAACCACGGTCCGTGGATCAATTAGTACCAGGCTGCACAAGAAATCATGAACTATTTCCATTTTATTTATTATCTGAGTCTGAACGATCTTTTATTTTGAAAAGTCTTTTATTTTGAAAATGACCATATTCACTTGTTTACATCTCGGTCACTTGAGCGCCCAAATTTAACCCACAAGCAGCAAAAGGAGTAAGAAACAGACGTCTTAAGAAAGTTTCTTTACTAATGGAAAAAGGCCCAGTGAACGACCCGCAAACTGCCAAGACATAAATCCGCAACCCACTTGACAACAAATCAGGTGAATTCACCATGGCTCTGCAAGAAGATCAACTAATGGACATCACAAATGACTGCAGCTTTCTAGGGGAGTTCGCATATTGCACATTTCAAGAGCCTGCAAAAGTTTGTTGTTTCCAATGGAGTTTCGTGGCTTGCACTCACAAGCGGCGTGACACGCTCGCACCAATGAACCCCGAGCTGCAAGCGCACCGCAAGTCACGTGACAATAATTGACCGATCAGCTTCAGCTTGTATGGAATATTTACATTTCGGTAAGACTAATTTTCTCAGACAAACCCAGAACACACAAACACTGCAGTCCTTGTAACTGTTATCAGAGAGTGACAGCAATGTTTTGTCAGTTTGTCATCCTTTGAGAAAACGGTTTATGGTCGCATAGCAACCTACGAAATACCCCCAACTCCCCGCAGTAAAATTGTCAAGCGTTGACCCGACTGGTGCGTGGTGATAAAAAGGTTGAGGACCACTGCCTTAGCTGACCAAAAAATGGACAAATTTGTAATCCGTCCTTCACAAAAAAGAAAGAGGGCCCTATCATACACCCGGCGCAGTGTGGCGCAAGACGTGGCGCAATAGTCTTTTGGTAGTTTCAGCTTGGCGCAAGAGTGGTTTTGAGGCGTTGCGCTACGCTTATATTTAAATAGCAAATGCATTAGCGCTCATTTGTGCGCCCATAGGCGTTCTGGTCTAAAAAGGAAGGCGTTCTGAGGCGCACTGCTGGCGCGTTGCTATTTTGAGAAACTATAATAGATTTTTCATTAGACCAAAACTAACCCGGTCTAAACTCCAGCGCAGAGTTGCGCCTCGCTTACACACTGCTTAATACACACAAGAGAGCGATAGGCAAAAATCTTTACATATGAAAAAATTTTAATATTAAGGATATATATAGGATATAACAAGAATAGATATAGAATATAAATATAAAGGATTAAAATATTACAAAACATATTATTTTCTAGCCTACATAAATATGAAAAATCACTGCTTTTATGCCTTCTTCATCTCGGGAGGCTTTTTCAGTTCATTAATAACAATTTGCTTTTGTATAATGTTATTATTACTAGCAGTATTATTTATTATATCCATATTTATATTTGTTTTATTAAAAACAAGCTTAGATTTGTCCACCTGTCAGGTTTTAGACCATATGGGGCATGGCAGGTGTATTTGGAAATAACTCAGGTATTTAAGCACACTTCGTCATTATTGTTCATTTATTCTTTTGCTGGAAATTAGAACTGAATTTAAAAATAGTTTTGAAACGAATATTTGCGCTCAACAAACAAAATTAATTATTTATAGACTAATTGATGTCTGTGCGTAAAGGTTTCCCCATCCACGAGCGAATGTGAAAGAAGATCCATTATCTCTCATTCTCACGCAGTAGATGCTCTGTTTAACTGTTTTCTGTTAAAAAACTGTGAACTGTTTGCTTGTGAAATGCTCATTTTTTCCACTTAGACTTACTTTGCGTCCTGTAAATAGTGAATGCGCTCTTGGCGCGACGCAGCTGACTCTTAAAGGGAATGGGAGATGAGACTCTAATTGGTTTATTCTCAAAACACACCTATAACTCATTAAGAAAATAAACGCAACCCTTTTAGCCCATGCGCCTTGGCGCAAAGCTGATTTTCCCGTCCGTAAATTAGCAAAAATGCGTTCTGATACGTCCTGAAAGCGTTTGCGCCCTGTGTTTTGCGCTCTGCGCATGGACCGTCAAAATAGAGCTCAGAGTCTCACTGATTCGCCTCAAAGCAATGCTCACACTAATTGATAGAGCATAACAAATAACGTGCAAGTAGTAAATTGTAATAGCCTACATTATTTTTTCTTTATAAACCAGTGTGAATATTGATATTTTTGTTATTGAATTTCAAATAGGGTCAATTTGAAGCCCAAAGGCTTACGTTTTTCAGTTACAAACAGACTACTGATGTTTTGCTTTTATATTTTACATCACACTATTATTTATTCATTTTCTTTTCGGCTTAGACCCTTCATTAATCCGGGGTCGCCACAGCGGAATGAACTGCCAACTTATCCAGCACATGTTTTACGCAGCGGATGCCCTTCCAGTCGCAACCCACCTCTGGGAAACATTAAGCTATTATTTGTGCATAAACATATCTTGATATAGTAACAAACATACCGTTTGTTTGAAAATAAAAACATTTTTTGTCATCATTACTGCAAACTTATGTGAGCGATTATATCAATAAATGTGGAGGGGGGCCTTACAATATTTTCCGGGGAAAAAGGGGTCTTAGGCAAAAAAAGGTTGGGAACCACTGCTTTAGATGACCGAGCCAGCTTGCTGTTAACTGACTGACTGACCAACTGACCTACCCACCCCTAAACCCAACCGATAGTGTTGCCAACATATGTGGTTAGCTACTGGAAGAGTCGTAACACTGGAAAAGCCATCTGTGCAGAGGTAAGTGGTAAGCTAGTCGCTCTAAAATGAACAGATGCCTTCAGTGGTGTCATACTGCCCCATAGCGTTTGTTTAAAGGCAAAACGCAGCCAGATGTTCCTCTGGCTACACAATTTGCGAGCTCAAGGAATGGAGACAGGAGTACGTATCGATAATGAGCCTGTGTTGGGAAAAAATCAATTCTCATATGGAGAAATAAATGAAATTCATTAACCTGAGATTATTTAGGCTAAAAGTTTACACCAAAGCCTTTTTGTTTGCTTTGTTTTTTTTTGCACTGATGAATGGTTTACAATAAGACCAGTGTGTTGGGAAAGTAAATGGCTTCAATTTTGATTTCGCATTGACTTTGAAATGCAGTAACATCGGTAAACTCCAACGAGACAAACAGACGCGAGCGCCGAGAGAGAAAGAGAGCCGCCACAGTGATTTATCTGATTCAATTAGCTTGCAAATGTAAAACAAGTCAGTTCAATAAAGAGCTAAAACCTCTCTTTCTTCTGTCGGTTCGGGTCTTCGACGTCTCTCCTCGACCTCCCTCTCTCTGCTGAATAATGAGAGTGTGTAAATGCTTAATTAGATTAAAAGGGTGTGTGTAACGATATGGAGATGCTGTGTGTGTGTGTGTGTGTGTGTGTGTGTGTGTGTGTGTGTGTGTGTGTGTGTGTGTGTGCGTGCATTCAGATCGCTCTACATTAGCACTGTGTTATTGTGGGCAGGGCTGAGAATTTATGACGCACAAAAACCCTGAAACATCAAACCCATTAAAGAATCCTGATTTATTCGTCGTGAACGCTGGGGAAATATATCACCCATAAAGAGGTGTGTGTGTGTGTGTGTGTGTGTGTGTGTGTGTGTGTGTGTGTGACAGGAACTCCTGGGAAGCATGTGTTTAATAGGAGAGGTTTAGCTGAGGTCTTTTTAGAAGTGTGTGACCTGGAAAACAAATTAAAATACAGAAAGAAAAATGTAAGATGATACGGAAGGTGAAAAAACCATATCACATTTGACATTTCAATGCAATGCCACTAATCAAAATTTCCTAAAAACAATTTACAAACTACGAGACTTTTAATATAGTTTTGTATTCCTCCTTTTGCTTTGCATAAGTGATTTAATTATATTATTATTAATATTATTATTCTATTGCAATATTATCTTTTTTTTTTCAAAATGTATGTATATATTTATATATAAGTCAGAATTATTAGCCCCCCCTGTTTATTTTTTCCCCAATTTCTGTTTAAGAAGAGCAGATTTTTCTTAAACACATTTTTATTCATAATAATTTTAATAACTTATTTCTAATAACTGATTTATTTTTTCTTTGCCATGAAGACAGTATGTAATATTTTACTACAGTACATACTATTTTAGTGTATAGACACTTCTATACAGCTTAAAGTGACATTTAAAGGCTTAACTAGGTTAATTAGGTTCACTAGGCAGGTTAGGGTAGTTAGGCAAGTTATTGTATAACGATGATTTGTCCTGTGGATTATTGAAAACAAATGTAGCTTAAAGGGGCTAATAATTTTGACCTTAAAATGTTTGTTTTTTTATTTAAAACTGGTTTTACTCTAGCAGAAATAAAACAAATAAGACTTTCTCCAAAAGAAAAAATATTATCAGACAAACTGAAAATTTTCCTTGCTCTGTTAAACATAATTTGGGAAATATTTAAAAAAGGAAATAGAGGGGATATATTTATTTATTTATTTATTTATTTATTTATTTATTTATTTATTTATTAGTTGCTAATAATTAAACACTTGGAAAATACTTTTTAATTAATAGTTTATTCCAATAATTATTATTAATTATACGACTACCACTAATAAATATATTAATAAATAGTTTTTTTTTTACATTTAAGTTTATATTATTTTGCTTTGCAGTCCAATTTTAATATATATATTTTTTTTTTTTCATATTTTTTTTTTTTTTTTTTGAAAACTTAAAAGGATTGGGCAAATGCTTTAAAATATGTTAGACACAATTACATTTTTGGCTGTCTTTGTAAGAATGTATGATAGACATTCTTTGCTCTAAAATTTGAAAATTAAATTGAAAATTGTAACTAATGTGCAGGAAAATTCAAATAAAAAAATATCACAATTGAAAGCCAAACAGCATCTGCCTCTACAAATGTCCTAAATTTCACTTATTTTGAACATCTTTTAGTTAATATTTTTCTTATTTGTCATTTTTAGTTAATTTTTTTTGGTTTTGCATTTCTACTATTTTATAGGTTTTTATGTATTTTATTTAGCAAAAAACCCTGAATATGAAAAGATTGCACAAATGTGTTGCAATAAAGCACATTAAAACTACAGATTAACAGAGATTATTCATATAACTCAGCCTTCATTTTATTAATTAAATTTTTTTTTTTATTATAATAATTATTCTTAATGCATAGACTGCTGCTTTGTTTGTTGGCACTGTTATTCTATGATAATTATATTATTTGACATCATTAATTTTGATTAGCCCGCAGGAAAAACAGGTTAAAAATTATAAGTGAGATTTTAATCTATTTTTACCTCTTCTCTATATAATGAAATGGAGAGCCAGTTTGCTTTAATCTTTATCCAGAAAAACATCCAAAACATTTGACAAGTAGCTATAACTCAGCAATGCATCGTGTCATGATATCAAAAGATTTAAAAATATATTTATACTTAACAACATTTTTACTATCCACACATATTTTTCAGGACAGAAAAGCTTCAGATGCTTATGATTGCAAAGAAAATCAGTATGTAAAAAAATAAACAATAATAATCATTGCCATTATTAAAACTCACTAGCTTCAACTGACATTTAAAAAAAATTTGTTGCATGCTTTTTTGAGTGTTTTTGGTTTTAGATCAATCAGTCACGCGGAAGATTGTCTAATCTGATGTGGAGTCACTGACCTGAGTCAAGCACTACTATGGGCTGTGGGTTTTCTCCAAGACCTGTGTGAAGACAGGGATCTCGTGCTGGACATCAGAGGATTGTGCAGGGTTACGTTAAAGGTGCCTTTCAAAACCGTGTCCATGATGACTGGACTCAACTATCAAACACAAACACACACACACATTGACATAATTCAATACATATCTATATTGCATACTAACCCTGTGTATTATTATATATTTGCTCATCTTCAAAAGTCACTGTACTGCTTTCTATGCTTTTTCTGCTATGTTGTCTTATTATTTAATTCCCTGTGATTTTAACATTACTGGTTATTGCAATTATTTATATCCACTTTTGTGTCTTATATTTCATTCAAATCAAGTTTATTTGTTTTGTGCTTTTCACAATAATTATCGTTCCGAAGTAGATTCACAAAATTATGTGTGTGTGTGTGTGTGTGTGTGTGTGTGTGTGTGTGTGTGTGTGTGTGTGTGTGTGTGTGTGTGTGTGTGTGTGTGTGTGTGTGTGTATATATATATATATATATATATATATATATATATATATATATATATATATATATATATATATATATATATATACACACACACACACACACACACACACACACACACACACACACACACACACACACACACATACACACACACA